TATATATATATTTTTGCCCAATGTCACAATTGTTCAGTCTTAACAATTGTCTAACTACATTTTGGGCTGAAGTACTTAGAAAATTTGTTCACATTAAAACTAAGGAAAAAATGGCAATTTTGGTGTTTAAAGAAAATGTCTTAATAGACCGTTCAAAATGACTTTGACAGCATTTCTGTGCTTTACACCTTATATCACCATACTGTCTACTCAGAACCTGAGTTGATCTTAATTTTTGAAATCCCAAAATTGTATTGTCATTTTTCCAATTATTACCAGAAAGGCCAGCTAGGACAGCTATGTTCTTCAAAGATAATGGGGTTGCATGATCCCAAGGACAATTAGCATTTGAAGGAAGAAGGCTAATTAGATCTATTTATGGAAAAAATGCATGATAAATTCTTTAGTAAACCATTGGCCAACATGCTGACAACAGGGGCCACCATATAACCAGAGAATTAATTCTGCCTAAAAATGAATTGAGAAGTAAGCATGGAAAACTGTGACTTTCATCAGAGACTTCAGTTTCTTCTAAGGAGACTGATACCTTAAACAACAGAACTCACATGTAAACAGCCAAAATAGACATTGTTATGAATCCCAAAGAATTGGAATGAATGTGAAACACTATGAACGAAAAAAAAATGGAGGTTGGGGGTGGGGATGACTGTACTGTGCATGTAGAACTATATAGTGTGATCAGGAATTAATTGCCAAAAGACTGCATGTGCCTCCTGAAGGAAGTGGAGCTTAGAATTTGAAAAAAAAAAAAAAAATGACCTTTCTTGTCCTGTTTATCTTATTTTTTTTTTAATTATTTTTTTTTTTCCCCCTCATTTTCACCATTTATAGTGTCCTGGGGATACATCTTATTCATAGAATTTTATTGCTGATTTTGCTGCTAAGTAGAAAACTGCCTAAAACATCTTGAGATATTAGTGTTATTAACATATTTTGCTGGATCTGTGGAATTCAGAGTAATAATAAATGTGGAAATGTAGACTAAAGTATATTGGTTACGAATCAGTTAAAGAAAATGAGCCAGAAATAACATCTGCACCAGCAAATCTGCACTGCTTAGCATACGGTTTTAATTTAAAAATATTTACTCCTAAATTTTGAGAACTGTGAGAGGTTTTAGATGTGTGCTTCTCATTAAAAAGATGCTGGCAGATAGTGTAGGCCAAATATTGGCTCTGGAGAAAGAAAGGTTTAGAAAAGAATTAATATCAGGCCATACAGAGCCATTGATTCTTATTTATTTATTTATTTATTTATTTATTTATTTATTTATTTATTTATTTATTTATTTTTTAGGCAGAAGTCTTCACTGAGTCCTAACAGAATTCACGGCAACAATTTTATGTTAAAATTTGAAACTCTCATTTGTCTTTTTTCAGGTAGATATTTAACTATAGTATTAGCTGATACACGGGCATCATATAATAATTTCTTTGAGATAGACCACTTTAATTCTTTTCATAAAGTTTTTACAAAAATCAGTTGTTATATGGTAAAAATACGTATTTGAAGTGCAGCATTAATAATTGGAGATTTTAGCTACTGACACTGGTAAATAAGAATGACTTCATTTTTTGGCTGCTCTCACCCTTTATAAAGGGGATGGATTTCTAGCAGTCCCAAACCTTAGAAACAATACAGTTTGCTCTGAAGGGAAATGGAACAGAGGGGTAAGATGGAGTTGTCCACACCAGTAATATGGGAGAGACACAATGTGCAAATGTGCAACTGCACAACTATTGCATCTGTTAGTCCAAACCCACAAACAGGAGTCTTTACTGTAGGTTACAAGAATTAACTTTGAAAGGGTTTGTATCTTGACAAGAATCCATCTATCTACCTCTTCTTATATAAAACCATTATATATATGCATTATATATGCATATATATTATATGCATATATATTATATGCATATATATATATATATATATATATATATATGCATATATATATATTATATATGCACCTCTTCTTATATAAAACCATTTGGCTCCCTAAAATTCATACGCACCTTTTCACAGTGGTCTCAGTCACTTCACGACTGTAATGAAAGTCACTCAGGACACTCTTAGGTCTTCCAAGAGATTCCACTGAGCAGCTGAGCTTGAAATATCTCCTATTAGATTTTCTCTGATCTAAATGTCTAGGTTAAAATCACTTCTAATTTAAAGATTCCTTTATAATAACTAACATTTGCATGCTGGGTTGTAGCCTGCCTGAATCCTTATCCTTTTACTTTAAAATGACTTTTTAATTAAAAAGAAAATACAAGAGAAATAAAAACTAATTGACAATGCTATAAAAATATTTTTATGTGATTGGGTAAATTTAAATATTTCTGCAAGTAAACATTCCTAAATTTTTGCTGATTTTCTTCTCTTTTTGTGGTATTTATTCTTCTATAAAGCAGTTTGGATAAAATTATTTTTAATTGTCCAGTGATAAAAGCTGTCCAGCAACAGAAAAGTCCACATCTGCTTCAACAGCAGACATATAAAACCTGTGTGACAAACATGATCATTAAACAATCTGATTTTCTTGTTGGGAGGGTTTAATGCTGTTGGGTATAGTATTAAAATGTAGAATTTGATAGTGCGTCTTAAAATTTTAATGATGTGTTCATGAATATAAAACATGCTTCCACCAGTGACTTTATGACTTCTCCTCTGCATAATTAGTGGTATCTGTTTTATGAGCTTACTGTTGTTGCCTTGATCCCATGAAAATGTGAAACCACTGTAATAATTTACACCATTCCAGAGCTTTAAAGATACAAGCTGGGATTTCTTCTCCTTTTCCCCTTACATATTCCTTGCTTTTAGTACCAAAACAGAACTTTAAGTGGCCTTGGTGAAAGCTGGGCAAAGAAAAAATCAAGGACAATGTTAAATTTTAAGCATTTGTCATAACATTGTATTTGTTGCCTCAGGTTAAATCTGCTTTGTTAATGTCTGTTAGAGGATGAGACAACCTTCCCACTCCAAAGTTGTAAATGTAAGTAAATTAATTTGTAGATAAACTTAAAAAAAAAAAAAGAGTTAACTGCCATTTCTAATGTGCAAAATAAAGGCAACTAACTTCCACTGAAAAAAATCCATATGATAATGATTCTACGATCACAATGGGCTAACTTCTAAACTACTGTTATTGCCTATTCTGTCCCCATTCTTTCTCCTCTAGAATTCAGAAAGCACTGGACTCACACAGATAAAATGTCACTTGCTTCTTAAGATGGAACAGTGTCTTCTTTAGAAACCTAGACCAAATATTAGGCAAGAAGAACAACAGTGCAGGTTCTGTTGTGCCTGGATCTCTGGTTTCATATTGGTAAATCGGGGATGGCACTGGTTAAAAATGGTGTGTTCTTGTGGCATTTCACAGGCATGACTAATTAATCCTCCTTCGTTCAGAGAAGATAGTGAGGGGATGAGTAATGTTTGCAGACACATATTTCACATGAAGACACATGCTCCTGTAGGTTACTCAAATGCAGAAAAGTTGCTCTTGTCTCTCTTTTATGCAAAGACCAACCACAGCCTGATTCTGAGTTGTCTCCTTTCAGAATTTAAACAATAACAACAACAACAACAAAGAGTTTTGACCACAATGGAACACAGACTACTTCTGATTTCTACTTTCAGCCCAAAATGTGACATGAAGCCATTCCTCCCCCCCCGCCTTCGTCCCCACCCCCCCCCCCCCAAAAAAAAAAATAATTAAAAATTAATGCTAAAAACAGAAAAAACACTTAGTGATGGTTTGGCAATACTTTTGGCTACAGCACTTGAAATAATCTGAATTTTTAACAGCTAGACAGAATCCCTTTGTTGTTAGTCATCTAGGCATAAGACACAGGTAAGAGGCTACGCTCAGTGGAAATTACTCTTTCTGTGAAACAAAAACAAAACAAATAAACCAAAAAATCTGATGTATTTTCATTTTCCAGCAACTGAATTTTCTTCTGCAGAACACTGTTTTGATTGCTTATATCAGTGGGACCTTTTTTTTTTTTTTTTTTTTTTTATGAGTTATGAATGCAGACACGTCACTGGCACAGGTCCTGGAGGAGTTGCGCTTCCTGTAGCACTTCCTGTTCTCTGGAATTACTCCTTTGGTTAAAATACAATTCATCCAGTGCCTGACAAGAAATGTCATTCAGCCAGAAAACTTGTCCATGAAAAGAGTTTGGGCACAAGGGATATGGGTTACCATGCTTATGAGACAATGCAGAATTATAAGCACATGCAGTCAAAATGATCCATCATGAAAAATCATGAAAAAATCCACAAAATGTGATATTTCACATTTCATTGTGATTTGGGATGAAAATAAATATCAGTATATCAGAATACCTCTCGGGACCAGAATTTCACTGTTCACTCAAATCTAATGAAAACAGGAATCCAGGATCTGCTTATCTCAGCTCTTCCCACTTGATAAACATCAAGCAGTCCTGGCTGAAAGATCTTTCCTTCTTACTGCCTTTCAAAGAGTCTGCCTCAGAAGGCCTTATCTCGCCCTGGTTTTGCTCCCTGAAGCATGGTTTGGTAGGTGGAACTCTGATTTAAATCAGCCCCTTCACTACAGCACTAACCAGATAAAGAGTTAAATTAATCTCAGTATTCAGCTCTCAAAAACAGTTCCAGTTTTGCACTCCCTATATGAATTTTACTGGATTTTCTTCTAAAGAACATTTCTTTGTTGCTTACTTCAGTGGGAGGTTATCTCTTCCCTTTGAAGGTTATATTGTGATTGGCAGAGGGTCAGGAAACTTCAGTCACATTGGCCTGTTACGGAAATACTTTGAAAAATAAATGTGAAAGACAAATGCTAAGTAAAGAGACTCCTTAATCAGCAACAGTTCCATAAGGCTTCAGACCCAGTGAGGTATCCACAAATGTTTTGTTTACACAGTTTATTAATATAGACATTTGGGAACAATGGGAGATTTTCTGTTGACTTTGATAGTCATGCTTAAGATGTATGAGAGGTTCGCTCTCTGTTGGCAGGATGCTCACAAAACAACAGCCTGAAAAACAAATAGACTATATGGCCACTGTCAAGATTGCATGTAGGTTAACAGACTTTTGTTATTAGACAGTGCTGTCTATTCTATTAAGCTTTGTTTCACATTCACTAAACTTGTGCTAAAAGTAGTACTCTGTTACTATATGTCAGTCAACAAGATTAAAACTGTAAAGTTTGAAATATGTTCGTTCTCACAAGGGCTAAGATTTCTAATATTCTTATACATCCTAAAATACAATTTCTAGCTTCCTAAGTTTTATCTAAATATCCTGGAAAAAAAAGTCCAAGACAGGAACTAAAAGATTAACTCAGACATGTTATGTAATCCAAAGTTGATACACTTTTGTTCCTAAGTACTTGGGGAATGGGCTTTGCACTTTCTGATGTACTGTTTCAAATGAATGTATAAGTGGTAATAATATTAGAAGTGTTATTAATGATAACAAATCTGGCTAGGAGCCTATTCTTTCTGTGTAAATCCATTTTACTCTTATTAACAGCAAAATGAGCTGTGTGTAATCAACTGAAAGGGATGCATCCCCTGAATTTAAAGACTGAGCTGTCCTCATTTGATTCAGTTGACCTTAATAGCCTTATTTGCAGGGAGCCCAGTTAGCAGCTGATTGTAACATACTGTACCATATGTGCTGGATCTCAAAGACACAAGTAGGCACTTAAGGATGAAGGGTCAGGCTTAACTGTTTGTTATTTTTATAAAAATGTGTTGTTGTTGTTTTATTTGTTTGTTTGTTTTCTAGACATTTTAAAAGAAAATGGTAGCAAACAGTAGAATAGTGCAGCTTTTATGGGAAATAACAATTTAAGCAGCGGACCATGCATTTCACTTTCAGTAAGTCACAACTTTATGCGGTATTTCATATATTTCAGTATTCTGCCCTGTACACCCACTTTCCCCTGGTACTACCAGGTACATTTAGTCCAATACCATCACAACCAGGAAATCTGCCTTGCTTTTCTTCTCAGGTTCTGCCTGCATGGTATTTTGAGATGTGCATAAACCTGGGACAGAAAGCTAAATCTACACAAAGCAAATGCTTGGTCCCAGATTATGATTTATTTGGCAGCAAAATGAGAAAAAGATGCTCCTATTTTTTCTTGATTTCATCCACTGACTCTCTCAACCTCATCTCCAATTTATTTCCTGCTCAGTTGTGCCAATGTAACTGTTTATATGGCTGTGCTCTAGGTCAGATCAGCAAAGTGGTATAAAACATTACAAAAGACCTAAAAAAAGAAAAAAGATCATCAGTAATTTTCCCTTTCATTGACTGTCACATTTTTCTTGTATTTGTTAAATGAACAATAGCTTTGGAAAATTATTCTTTCTGGAAATAATTCCATTTCTTGTAGATATATTTCCATTTCACACTTGTAGTTAGCAACATAGCTTATTTTTCTCATTGAATTCCACACTTTGGAAATTGTAATTAGATGAATAACACACAAGCAAAATTTCAGCACTAATCCAAAGGTGAAGTCATGGAGTTTTGTTTGCTTTAGCTGTATTTCTAAGTACAGAAGACAAGCAGATGTACTGACCTGCAGCTTCCATTCCGGACAGCTGAGGTCTCTCCCACTGGGTAGGTTGGACAGAGACTGCTGCTTTCCGTTGTCTACCCAAACCTAGCCTCTGGCACCTCTGAGTACTCAGCAACAGGCTTAAGCTTAATCCTACATTTAATAGAGAAACATGCTATAAGGATAGACTTTCCATAAGTGATGGAAGGAATTTCTTTATTCCAAACAAAATTTATAAGGTCCAAAAAGAAAAGTTTAATACCAGGATAGCGATAACTTATTTATGGTTGAAACCACAGTATGCTAATTCTTACTGTGTCCCCTTATCCTTTCATCCTGCTGTCTCAGCAGGTCATTAATGTTCGTAAAAGCACAACAGCTAATCATAGGGGATTGCTGAACTCCATATAGTGCCGCGTTTGCATGACTCTTAGCTTGGATGAGATTTGCTACACACACCTTGAAGGACAAGAGCAAGATATAAAACTTTTCATCCAATATGAATCTGCAAATTTGGTTATATCTGCAGAGAGCTGTTCTAGTAAACTGGACATTTCATCACATACTCAGGACTTTCAGAAGGCAGGGAAACTTTGATTGAGTAAATCAAATATTCTGATAATGTGTAGACGTTAATGCAAAGTAAGACTGTGGCTCCAGGCAGGAGTTGTGACACAACATGAAGAGGCCCAAAATGCAGCCCTGGAAGGCCTGACTGGAGCCTGGTCTGCCAGCTGAAGATTTTCTCATTGTCTAAAGGCAAGAGGCATGGGAAGAAGGTAAATAAAACTTTCAGCAGAAGTATGTGATCAAGCACCTTAGAGGATTGCACTGTCTTCTTCAGAAAGTTGAACAGGGCAAAAAGTTACATGAGTTAGACATCCAGTCCTGTACAAAATTGCAGGGATGAATGGGATTTCTATCTCTGTCTTGTATAATTTCTTCAGAAATGTTGGATTGTTGCTGGCTCACACACAGGACTCGTGACATGAAAAAAGCAGCAGGATTTGGGTTATGAAAAGGAAATGTCTGAAAAAAAAATGTAGTGGACATATACGTTCTTTGTCTGTGTGATGCTCAACAAATATACGTGGATAAAGAGACCTTGACCCAGCAAGAAGCCTAGACTCATTGTAAACGTTTCCCTTCTCATATTGCTTTATTTTATTTTATTTTTATTAACAGTGTTATGTCCCATGAGGCAAAAAATATGTGGACAAAACTTTGAAGATAATTTAGCTCAAGATTAATCAAGAGATGTTTGGAATCATTTAGAACATTATTGGATGAAACAGCCACATAAAGACAACGATACTTTTTGTATCTTTGTACTTATTGTCTGTTAATAAGGGATTTGACTACTGTCAAGTCATTTGAACTCTGAAACTTGGATACAGAAAACTGCTGAGAACTGCTGACATTGCAAAGAGAAACTGAGGCACAGGGCATGACTGATGCTTTTTATAATGCTTGTATTCCTGCTTTTTCAATTAATTTTATTATTTAGAGGGCATTAATATCAACATTTTCAGTCCTTTTATCAGTATCTGAGAGTCTTTCGCAAATTTAAAACCTTAGTATCTGTAAAACAAAAATGTATTGGAACATCGTCTGGAAGATCTGGGGAGGACTGTGACTACCATTTGCTAGATCTTGATATCTTCCATGGATAAACTTAGCTCCATAGCTGCAAACTCTGGTAGCCATATCTATGGACCAGATAGTCTGCTGGTAGCCATATTTATGGAGTGTAATATTTGCTTGTTTCCCAAGCAGCCTCAATTTGTTTTGATTTACTCAGCTTTATTTTCTCCCTTTTTTAAACAATTAACAATTAAGTAATTACCCACAGAATAAACGATTTCAAACAAATTGTTTCAAAGCAGGAGAAAGGGGAAGGACAGGCAATGCTCGCAACTTAGTTACATTATATTCAAGTCAGTTTTAGTTTACAATGCACTTTAATTGTCACACAAACTGTAGTTTGCAAGGTGGCCAGATTAAAAGCAAAGGTGGCTTTGGAGACCTAAATTCTGCAGCGTCAATAAAAATTAAAAATCTTATTTTAAACCCTATTTATAACCACAGAGAAGGCATCAGTGTCAATATATATTTTAAAAGTTCTGATTCATAACACATGACAAGTGACAATTTCTATTAATACCATAACTTTAGAGTGCATGAATATAAGCTTTCTAATTAGTCTGGTGTGAAGGCATATTTATCTTGTTATGCAACCCATGCAGATCTTTCAATGCCAGGACATTCAGATCTTCTCAATAAACAAGTAGCATGTATTGTCAGAGGCAGTCTTTGAAACCTACACAACAACCTGAGTTCACCCAGTTGTGTGTAAAAGTTTGCATGAGTTTCCTCATTTGTACTTAAGAGAATATATTCAATTCCCTTACAATTTCCAGATGTCTGTTAACATACCACCCAGTCTTTGTCCTGTCACAACCTCTCTGCTTGAAAAACTAGAAGAACTACCTAATGTGTAGGAGAAGGACATTGTAGTTCGTTGCTTGCTCACACTGTGTAGTTTTTGTACTTCTAGTAGTAGACATACATTATAAATAAATATATGCACATATATATATATATATACACATTTTGGGGGGAGTGGTTAACTTTAAGTAAAGCAGGCTGTGCTCTGCTTAATTATGTATATATATATTTACAGCATTGAAATATGTAAGTCAAATCACTGGTATTAGCATTTTAAAATAAATCTTTGTGAATACAGTTCTGAGTAATGATCTGAGCAATTACTGATGAACATAAACCATTGAAATTTTCTATATTTCACAATCCAGCTGGAAAAATATAGTAAGAAATTAATTCATTCTGTTTCTCAGTTTTCTAAGTGATTAACACTCAGAAGATGAATGGTAACCAGACTAGATTTCATATGTTCTTCACGAAATTCAATTTTTTTTTCACTCATCAAAATAGTTTAAGGCAGACTAGTCTGTCATGATTTGTAAGAGAACAGATAGTAAGCTGATTTAAAGAAACGACTGTGCTTAACTCAGCTGTCTTAAAATTATGGGGCAAATTCTCCAGCAGTTATACACATGCTAGTTTTATCAGTTTCTGAGGAAGCATATGGCTCTAAGCAGAACTCTCATATTTTAATTGCTGCCAAACACACACACACACACACGTACATGCACACACACACAATCTTCCTTCCCTTAGTTCAAAGCTAGAATGAAATGGCTCTGAGATTTCAAACATTTTCCTGCTCTGACTCAGGGCAAAAAGTTGGAATCTCATAAATTTTCATCTATATGCATTCCAAACAAAAGCTTGGCTTAATTAAAACATTTTGGTAAGATTTGTTTTGTGTTTTGTTTTGTTCTAATTCCTTTTAGGTGTTGTGATTTGTTGATGTTTCTTCTGTACAAGAGACCTAAAAAGAGACAAAAAAGTGATAGTTGGATATATTGTCCATTTTGATTTGCTTTCACTTCTTTTTGTTTTGAAAGACATAAACTGCAGCTGGTCATTTCTGTGTTTTTTTCATTTAGATGAATTAGCACTTCCTGTTAAAGAAGATCCACTGATAATCTCCCAGTCAGCTGTTACTTCTACTTGGATCAGGTTTAAGATTCAGGCCTGCTAATTCTTTGTGTGGAAGGGATTAAAGTCAATTTCTCTGTTAGTGCTGGGAGCAGAAACATGTTTACAGAGCTGGAAGTCCGTGTGGTGCAGTGACTGCAGCAGGGAACAGTCTGTAGTCTGCATTCTCTTCCTTATTCTGCCACTGGCTGGACGTATAATCCTGAGCATATTGCGTGTTTTTAATGCCTAAAGGTCAGATCTAGATGCTAGGAGTGTTTTGCTGACAAAAGGACTCCTATTGTGCATATAACCTGCACTGGAAAAACTATTCCTTTGCCAGTATAATTTATTCCAGTCCCTCAAAGTTCATGAGTGTGGTTTCCAGGATCCATACCTCTTTCACTGTTCCAAAAAAAAAAAAAGTTACCCAGGCAGAATTTTATGCTGCACATATAATTTAAGTTTCCTCTCCTAAAGCATGACAGGAATGAGAACTTGGAGAAGTGTTTGTGCATGATGTTATCTTTACTGGTGCTTAATTATTATCTTATTTCTCAGCAGCACCAGGGTACAAGTGGCTGATTTTCTAAAGTGACAACCATCACTGCTTAACATTGACAGCAATGAAAGCAGCAGCTGAGCAGCGGTTTATGGAGTCGGGATGCTCAAACATAGCACTGCTGTAATTGAGATCAAGGTACAGCAACTCAGTTGCCTTTGGTCTGCATGGAGCCAAAAACCTGGTAGACCTGGGAAGGAGACTGTTGGAATGTTTTTCTGCTTTTTTTTTTTTTTTTTTTTTTTTTTTTTTTTGTCAAGTTAGGAAGGCCTTCAGATCAGTTACACTGATTTTATGTTGCTTTGCTTATTCTTGTGAGGAAATATAGGCTCAAGCAACAGAATCTGGGTTCTTCCACAGCTCTTATAACACAGCATTTAGACAAGTTTCCAGTAGAGGAATGAGTGTTGTCAACTAGTTAGCACAAGCCATTGGAAAAAATCCCTGAAATCTGCACAGGCAGAATAATTACACACAAATGCATTTGGGAATCCTATGGAAAATGTAGTCCAGTGACCTGGCATGGTTACAGCACAATTTAGCAAGTATGTTAGAACAAATTACTCCTTTTAACCATAAGCCATTCTTTTTCACGCTTTTAATGAAGGCCTGTGCCACACACTAGAATACTTCTCACCTCATTACTACTCATAAAAAGCAATGATCCATTCAAAGGCTCCTCATATCTCCCATATGAGATGTAAAAGAGCCCACTCTTTTTCAGTCTGGCACAAGAGAGGAGAATGACTTCTCTCTCCAGCCTTTGATGTTGATCATTAGGATGTTTACTAGATAAAGAACCACAAAATTTATCTGTATAACTTCACTGCTGTCGTGTGCTAATGTTCTTCCTCCCTGCCCCCGGTTCCCTACTTATACTAAATCTGCTGTTTAGAGAAGTGAAAGGGTTTCAAGATTTCACATAAGCAATTATTTTTCTCTCTCCGTGTGCATGTATATACCTATTTATATATAAAATGTCTATAAAGAAAGGAAAAGAAATGGTGAAGAAAGAGAAATATCCATTGAACTTGAAAAATATAATAAGACAGTAAAATACAAACTATGGGCTGAATAGAAATTAAATGAGACATACTGTCTGATAAGCAAGTTTAAAAATATAATCAGGCTTGAATTTAAGCTAGTTGTTACACAAACACATGCACAAATGCCACAGACATACTGCATGATGTTTTGTGGCAAAGGTGCAAACAAGGGCAAAGGGGCATTTTCTCCAGAAGAATATTCTTATTTATAAGTTGCAAGCCCATAGCTAATGCTTTAGTTTTGCTTTTGCTAGAAATATTCCAACAGATGACTTTATTCTGGGAGCAGTTCTACTCTCTCAGTACATCTCAGCACTTTGAATACTCTGAATACTTTGAAACAGACTTCTGCAATGCCTACTCCAGCACCAGTATGGCAAGAGACCCGCTCACAGGCATGGCAAGGAGTCACAAAGGGTCACCCAGCATCTTCTCTGCCAACCTGCTTCCCCCACCCCAGCCCCTGTTGCCTGGCAGCCCAAATGGGTGGACAAAGGTTGGGAGGTAGTTTGGGTGTATCAGGAGGACACAGCTCTGGCGCTGTCAGTGGAGACAACCCAACCTCAAATCCGTCAGCACAATTACTGATTTAATTGCCCTCTAACCAAGCACAGTCAAGGGCACCTGGAGTTCTTTAGTAGTTTTTAATAGGTAAGCATCTTCTGATTTGAACAATGTCCACTGAAGCAAACCAGAACCACATGCTTTAAAATTTCATATAACAAATATGAAATACAGAAATGCCTAAGGGCTGGGCAGGGTGGGACATGTCCTAGCCTAGTGTAGCTATAGAGAGGTATGTTGTTGTAGCTATAGCGAGGTATGTTGTGAGACTTACTAATGCATGGAGAAACAAGAGGGCTCATCTCCACCAGACAGTCAGGGTCTAGGCTGAAAATGAAGACCTGCCATTCTTACTGAGACCTCAGATCCTGCTCCAGCCAGCAGTGTGTGCTGCTTCAAGGGAACACGCACGCTACCCTATAACCACCAAACGTAATACTCTGAATAATAATCTGCCTGCAGGAGAAGTTTCCCTCCCAATCTCAAGCAGTTTATTATGCCAGGAGGCCTGAGTATTTTAAATCCCCTGTATCTTATCCTAGGTAAGTATGGATGTTTTATTATCTGTATAAACGTCTAATCATATTTAAGTTCTGGAAAGCCTATCTTCAAAGTGTTGTAGCGGCATTAACTGATCATCCCTTAAAAGGGGAGGTGGGTAAGTACACTGTTGCCATCTCTCCCTTTTTTAAATATACAAAAAGTAAAGTATGGAGTGCCTCAGTTCTGTGCCCAAAGCCAAACAATGACTGAATATAAAAGCCAGAGTTAAAATAGCAGAGTTCATGATTCATAGCCCTCTATACATGCAATAGGCACAAAGTTCACAATGTATATTGTTCACATTTAACTAGGAAAAGTGAGGGCACTATTATTTTGATTAGTTCCTGCTTATTGACAACTTTATTGCAATTCATTAAAAATATCATTTGGTAATATGACTTCTCGATGTCTTTCACTAGAGGCAGCCCAGACAGACTGTGTTAAATCTGTGATGACCCTTCATAATTTCAGTGAAGGCTGTGTTAAAAGAATACAAATGATGATACGATACCTTTTGAATAAGTATGGCCAGTGTTGCGTTGCTGTCTAGCGCCTCTCACAACAGGGTCTCAGTGAGCTCAGAAACTCTGCAAACTACCATAATAATAAAATAAGCATGGAAAAAGACAGAAAATACACTTAATTTTAGCTTTCTTAACTCTTTCAGTCACCTAATGCAAAATCATAGGTGATGATATCAAGCACCAAGAAACACTTAAGCCATACTGCTTCTAAATTAAATTGGTAATCTCCAGGCACTTATTCGGAAACATGAGCTAGCTTGAAATACTTTGAATACTTTATTGCTGCATCAAAGTGGCAATACCCTAGGAAGATCAGAACAAAATAATCTTTTACAAGCAAGTGACCTCTGGAATAACAATTATGCAGATTTGCTTTATTTGGAAGCTTAAATCAATGCACACACACCTGGTTAGGAAATAAGCTATCTTGAAAACAGAATCCTGTCAGTAAGTTACTAACAGGGAAGAAGATAGAATTGTATTGGCATCAGACATGTTGACAGTGTTATTCAACTTCTCAGTATTCTCTTAAATGCATAAATTTGACTCTTGTTTATAAATGCTGTTTAGATATAATCCACAACTCCTGTTAGCTTAACCTGTTGATTTTAAAATCTGTCCAAAAACATCAGAGAACAATTTGGTCTGCAATAAATACTTCTTGATAATAAACACAGTCATGATATTTACATCTGCATTTGAAAATCTACACTTATTTCATAATCTGGTGGTGAGAATGACAAAGACACAAACAGCATAAGCTTGAATCGTTTCCAATCACAATCACAATTGTAAATCACTGGTAAATGAAAAAATAAAAATAAAAAATGTTCCAACGTTCCCTTCTGCTTTTACTATCTATTAGACTGTAATAAATAGCTAGATCAGGGTAGGCTGATGAAAAATGTTTAAGAAAAAAGACATCAACAATTTCCTTTCAGCTTTACCATAGCTCAGTAGTATAAGATCCCAAGAATGAGAACTTTCCAAACCTCAAACCTGTTGTTTCAAAAACAGTACATTAAGGTCTCAGCCTCCTTTTTTTTTTTTTTTTTTTTTTTTTTTCCCAGCTGACATATGTGTATATTATTTTGCAACAAAGAAACCTGTCAGCTGTATTGGACTGTTTATTACTTTGACAACTTGATTTTGACTTTTTCAGCATGATTTGCCAAGATTAGCTTTTATTTACAGGGTTTTATGTTCTAAGATGAGGTGAAAGTAAGAACAGCAAATATATCTTTTTCCCTGACATCTCTAATAATTTTACCTGGTCAAATGTTTGGATACATAGAGCTGCAGTAGAAATGTATGATTAGTATACTCCCCTGTGGATTATGAACAGAAAGCATGTGTTGGGCTTACACACAGGCTGTGATTTACTCACAGTCTCATATAAAGGTATTTGCTCTGCCTCTCCAGTGTCTTTAGTGCCCTTTTCTCATTAAAGAAGACAGATACCAACAGATAATGAAACGAGTCTGTTCTGAAAAATACAGATCTGGCTTTTGAAGCAAACATACTGACCAAAGTACTCAGAGGACAACTTTCAAGAATGTTCTTGCAAAAGGAAAATGTGATGTGATTACAAAGTTTATTTGTGGCCCTCATTATACAAAATGCCACAATGATGGATTTTGTAGTATTGGATAAAAGTATTAGCAGAAATAGTTCTGTAATCTGTTTTCAGGATATGGATTTGAGGTTCCAAGCATGGCATAAAATGATAATTCACTGTATAACCATCAGCATGAACTGTATTTTAACAAAGGCTTCAGAAACTTCAGTTTCCATAAAACAACACAGAGTAAATTCAGGGCTAACAACTGGAAAGCCTGTAGGATAACAGTTTAATTCATCCCATCCTGTAGGAGTGTAGATGGAAGTTTTTTATCATGAAATTAGCTATTTTAAAACATATGTGCCAAAAACATCTTTTGCATCAGATTGCTGTTCATGATAAAGCTACTTGTTTTTACTTAGTACACAGCAAATGGAGATATTAATTTGAACAAAAGCAGCTCTGCCTCAAATGCTCTTTTTTATGAGTTTCACTGAATTCCTGGATTTACTTTAGTCTTATGATTTTTCCAGATTGGTGTAGAACAGAGAGGTTTACAGGAGCAGCATTTGCACGGCAAGAAGCATATCACTGCCTCAGTAGATGGCAGCCTTCTCTCTGAAAGAGGAGCCAGCCTTCAGCCTGCTGCAGGTACCTGAGGCACAACAGAAATAATCAGCAAGCTACACAGCCAGACTACCATGGCTTTTCAGCAAGGGCTGAAACTACCCCTGAGGGTGTGCATGTCCCATGTGAGATGTGCAAGCAGTGTGAGAAACCCCCATCAGCTCCACAAAGATCAGTGGGACTGCTCACAGGACAGCAAGGTAGCCACAAGGATAAGCCCTTACTAGAAGTCCGTTTGGGGCAAAACATAATCTAATTATGGCTATAAAGCATTCAGTACATGGCTTAGTATAACCTATACACACTGCTTAGGATTCAGGCCTTATTCAGTTATACTGCTCTATTTTCTAAAGAGTGATGCAAATTTAGGAAGATGGCAATTTGCAGCTTCTGATTTGCTGGTTACAAGAGCTAACAACCTTTAAAAAAGGGCTGAATTATTGTGAAAATGTTGGGGCTTACTAACAATCAAAGGAAGTCTTCTACTCATCACTGGCTTACTGAAGATTTAAAATTAGTATATCTTTAAACAAAAATAATCTTAGGAATAAAGTAGATGTGTTAATTATCATTTATTTTCTGCAGGTTTTATTGCACTCTATATGTACCAGTCACAGTTTTTTGTTGTTGTTGGTTTGTTTTTGTTTTGTTTTGAAATCTGAGATACTATAGAGCTAATGCCTTCATGGAGGAGATGTATAAAATAGTTTATGATCATCTGGTTTTAGTAATAAGTGCCATGACAGGTTATATGTAAAGTGAGCACATTTTCAAAATACAAAAGGGGCACTTTTGTGGCAGTATTTTCTAGTCATGAAATACTCAAGTGCTCTGCATTCTGGCTTCTTGCTTTGATCTGCTCTGCCTGGGTCAGAGAAGCTTCACCTGGAGTAGATCAAAGAAAGTCTGAGCAATGCTTCCTCCTGAACCTCCCTCTCCTCCACTTCCCTCTTCTCTATGGTGCTAGAAATCACAAAATGAAGAGAAACAAAGGCATCCCTCTCCACAGGCCAAATCTCCTCCAATCCCCGGTGCAGAATTTTATGTCTTCATCAGACCAGCCCGCCAGGGTGCAAGGCTTACATCACGGGGCTGCCACGCAGCAAGCTGCAATGAGCTTCAGACAGTGAGCGCAAAGGCACACACACACTCCCTGCACCAACAGCTCTGTGGAGCTAGGATTGCTGTGATTAATTTCAGGGAAGCAATTGAGTTCAGAGGGACTACTTGTGGTACATAAAATTAGCCACACTAACTGTTTCTGCTATCAGAGTGAAAGAGTATTATTATTATTATTTTTTTTGTGTGCAAATATACAGTCTATAGGAGCAGAGGGCCAAAAGATGGAGATGAAGGTTGCCATTAATAAAACAATAATAAATAAATAATTAAACACAAAATAAATTCTGGGAATTAAAATGGAAAAAAATGAAATTTTAAGCAATTATAAAGGTTTCGAATACCACAATTGCTTAAAAATCTGGCCCTGTTTTAATGAAATAAATTTTGATATCTGGTCTCTTCCATTATTTTTTTTTTAAAGTATATGTAAAAAAATGTAATGAATAAATTAATCTCACCTTTCCAATGGAATAATGAAACAGGCTAAGTGACTCTAAAGATGCAAATATTCTACTAGAAAATCAAATTAAATATATTTTTTGGAAGAAGGTGGGAATAAAAAAAAATTTCAAACAAAAGATATTGTTTTAATAATTATTGCGAGAAAATTGTCTAGAAAATAATGGATTTGCTAAAAAAAATCTCCTTTCTAGAAAACAAATTGGTAAAAAGAACCATTTTGACATATCTCTGTGTTTGCTATTACAAACACCAAATAAAATTGAGGCTTACTAAAATGAGAGAAAAAGAGTAATACTATTAGGGTGCTTCTGATCTATGAAAAAAAAAAAAAAAAAAAGTAAAGTAGAAATTTCTATAAAATGGCTTTGAAACGGCTTTGCTACAGTCAGTTATCTGATAGCTTGGCTGCTGTTGATACATACCAGGTATGTATTGCTGACATTTCCTCGGCTTCCAGGATGCATCAGTGTGATGTGACAATGCGGGGCAGCTGCAGCTGCTGGGCCAGCAGTGAAGCAGTTAACTACGAGAGAGGGGACTGCCTGCAGCAGTAGGAACTGTCAGAAGGTTTGCCCCAGTTTTAGCGAGGGGAGTGGCAAGAAATAGCCTTTGCTTTAGCTCAGCTGGTGGGAAAGATGAGCTTTCTTTATATCAGTAAGTAACTATATTTCAGGGCATCATTCAAAAAACATCCTGCAACGCTTATGTGCAAAGAATTTATAAGTAATGGTTAATACATATAAATCACAGAGAACAGTGACTTAAAGGTGTTTTTGTCTTGCTTATACATTAAATTTCAAACTTCAGAATGTATATACATTTTAAAAACCCTTCAAAATTATGAATTCAAGCCACAGGACCAAACTTTGCTCTGGTCTGTACCAGTGGATCCTAGGAAGCTCAATTGTAGTCAACACCAGAATTTGGTACATCCTACTTCAGGAGACATTTGGTCTAAATAGATGTTGTGAGATTAATTATCATTAACCTTGTAGCTTTAAAATGACAGTTAGGAACACAGAAATTGCAAGTATAGATATGAAGTTGCATGTTCCAGAGTGATACAAAAGACACTTGCAAATGTTTCATTTATAAAAACGTTTTGGACATCTGTGGCCTAGAAGGCATTGACTCATTTCGAAATCAGCAGACCACTCAGGTTGTTCCTGGGCTGCTATTGCTAATTTTTGCAGCACATCCACTTTTCCTGAAATGTTTATTCTGGCTTCTCCTTTTCTGCAAGAAATGGAGGATACAGGGCTCTTCACATGCCTGATCTGAAAAATGTTCAAAAGCAA